TTTTTTTTTTTTTTTTTTTACTTTTTTTCTGTGAACCAATTTGTTTTATTATGGTTCTATATAAGAGCATGCACACCTACCAATGGCTACACCACTGAGAAAAGCACATCTGTCCTTAACCATTAACTTAATAACTATGAACTGCCATAATATTTTTAATCAATTCAATATACACAAAGAAAACAATGGAAACTAATGATGCTATACCTACTTCATTACAGTGGGTTGATGGGCCATCCTTGTACAATAAAATCATAGGTGGCTATAAATTCAAAAATGCTGTATCTGTCACATCTAAAATACAGTGTTTCACACCACTCCACTCCTTTTTCTAACTCTTAACTTTCTTCCTATTCCCTCTTGCAAGATGGACTTCAGTAATATTAAGCAACCCAGATGCTTATATTTATAACATTGTCCAATTTTTTAATTGAAAATAATTTCCAGACAATATTGGTAAAGAGTGTTGCATAATACTCAAAGTAACCCAATGATGACTTGATAAATTCTGAGATGCACAGGAAAGATGCTTCTATAGTAAACTTCACTGATTCACCTGCATCTCAAAGAAAGCAAACTGTAAAGGCTGCATTTTCTTCTACATGCTATTGGTCTTGATATCTCATTCTCAAATTCATAGAAGATGGCCATATGATAATAAAAGTGGGTGTCTTAGAACTGCTAAAGTTTTTGGTTAGCTTAGAAAGAAGTAACTTTCCAAAGAAGAAAATTTATTCATAACAAATAGTTATTCAGTGTGATGATAAACTATAAATTCTATTTCTTACTAAATAAATACTAGGGTGAAGTATTAGACACATCTGAATCTTCACAATAGATTTTTTCAAAAACTGTAACAGGATGTTCTTAGGAATCACATTAAAGTGATTTAATATTAAATCCACAATTAACAATATTTAGTACCTACTGGATTGCTCTTCTAATATCTTCCAACAAACATCACAATTAGTAAACAATGCACTCAAATAATCCACCTTTTCCATTTTTATCTGTAAATTTGTTGCTAGTTCATTGAATTTAAGGAGAAATCTGTGTCTTATCAATGGTTTCTGTATCCTTGCATTTGGGCTGTTCAGCATGGCTGTGATAATACACATATAGGAAAGAGTCATGAATGGATAATAATTCCTCTTTTAAGTCACATGTTGTCCATTAACTAATTTGATATATAGTTACGTAACATAATGTTCTGTGGCAAGAGGTGGGGAAAATATTAAGACAGGTTTACCTTATCCCTAAGGTTATACGATTTCCAGGGATAGGAGTTTTTAAGAATATAACACACAGACAACAGCTTAACTGAAAAGCATGAGTAAGAATAGACGGGTAGTAGATAACACTATTTTGGAAAAATCTACCTGAGAGACTTGACTGTTAAGCAAAAACAGAAGATATCTGGAGCAATCTGAAGGAATTAATTGTACAGATTTTAGGGTCCAGCAAAGAGTGGAACTGTGGAATTTTTGTCAAAAACACTATAGATTTCAGAAACACTGGTCTGAAGTGCTTCAGAGCATGACGTGTGATTGAGTTTTCTGTTTCATAGTCACAAAGCTGGCTGTGCTGCTGTATTGTTTACTTTGCAGTTGTCATGGTAAAACCCCATCACCAGACAACTTAGCCTTTTGACTGGTGTAAAATATAATCTCTGTGTAATTTTATTTGCCAAGTCACAGAAACAAATGCCAAATGATACCATGGATATGAGGAAAGGTAAACACACATTCACTGTTGTGCTTAAAGGTACAACCACCGTGAAAATCAGTGTGGAGGTTCCTCAAAAATCTGAAAATAGATCTGCCACATGATCCGGCCACAAAACTCTTCAGCATATGTCCAAAAGGCTCAATATGTTTCTACAGAGATGTTTTCTCATTAATATTTATTGTTTCTCTTTTAACAATAGACAGGAAAGTGATACAGCCTAAGTGTCCATCAACTAATCACTTATAATTAAACTGTGGTTATTTTATAATTACACAATGGAGTATTACTCAACTGATTAAGAAACAATATAATTCATAAATAATTGGAGCTGGTACAACCATCCTGAGTGAAGTAACTCAGACACAGAAAGACAAACTTGACAGATTCTCTCTCTTTGGTGGATGGCAGCTTTGAATTTTTCATATTAGTGTTTCACTTGGAATACCCAAGGTTAAACAATTACTAGGGCCATGAGGAAGGGCTCTCAAGGGAATGGGGGTAGAATGCACTGGTATAAAGGGTTAAAATACAAGGATAAAACAGGAATGAATTAATTGTGGTAGGGAGAGGAGGCCAACATAGAGGAAGAAAACAAGGAGAAAATAACAGTGGGGACTTTTCAAAACACTCTTACAAAAATCTACTGCTTCAGAAGCTTTCTAAAATATATCTATACACATGCATTAAAAAGAGTCAAAATGGAGTTATGCTGTGATTCTATTGGACACCAAAAATGTCTCCATTCTTACAGGGTCATATACAATGAGCTGTTCAAATATAGCACCTAAAAGCTTCTTCAGGTTCAGTTTTCCATTAATTAGAGGTGAGACACCAAACTAGGCTGTGAGAACAGTTCATTCTTCTTTCCAACTGACTGTTTTGAAAGAATACTGACCTGGATGACATCATTAGTAATTGACTCAATTCAAGAAGTGTTTATGTCTAGACAATCATCTATGTGAGAAATAAATTTATTCTAGTTCTAATCATTGTCACCCTAAGCATGCTAATGAATAAATAAATGATCACTTCTTTCTTTGTGTCTCCCTCTTGTCTTTCTCCCCTCATCTATCCCCTTCCCTTCACCTCTCCACCCCTTTCTGTCCTCTCAACTATTCTCCTCTCCTCCTTTCTCCATATCTGTTTTTCACATAGCTATGGACAGAGACATCTCAGTGAAATTTTTTATCAATTCAGTCTGCACAAAGAAGATAATATGGAATGACAGATAAGTACAGCCAGAGGCATATTATAGAAACATGTGAATACTTAGGTGATATCTATTAATAGACCTATATTTGACTAAGGAAATCATCAGTAGATGAAAATCACTCCGCTTATGTGATCAGGTTTGTAATTACTTATGTAAGAAATCAAGAACCTGAAACTGACTTTAGGTCAAGCAGGGATTTTGTAATCAAATTATTTGATTATTGGTGAATTGCAGGCCTTGAATAATTAATGTTCATGATACCAGTATAACCATATTAATATTAATATATTTGTTTATATCATTTGGATGTTTAAAATTATCAATTTTCTTTAGGGTGTATTCAATACAGGCACATCAAGAACATGACATATTAGTTCTATTGATATAAAGATCATCCAATGACTAATAACAAACAGATTGAGATGGGTGTTTTTGTTTACAAAAGCTGAGACAATTTCAGATGATTGTCTGTTTCGGGACATTAGCATCTGCCCCTCCCCAGTTCCTGCTGTCTGGAGCATCACAGCATCCTTTTCACAGCCAATGCTACCCACATCTGTAACAGTCATTTTTATGCTATCTTCTGGATTTTTTAGTAAATGCCTTCTCACCAGTTAGCTACCTTCCTTCAAAAATTCACATATGTAAGAAATACTGTTTATATTCAGAATGACAGAACTCTCTTCAAGTTCCTTGGAAGCATAACAAAGGACATGCTGTTGTTCAATTTTGAATGTACAGTTCAGGCTTCCCTGTATGGTAGTAGAATCAGCTAATATGGGAAAGTGAAAAGACATTACATCATGTTCTAAAATACATTAATACCTAATTCATCTCAGGTGTTACTATTTTAAGTATAGAAGTGACTGAGTCATCTCATGTTTTATTATGCTTTACCTGTGTTCAAATGTTTGCCCATGTACTAAGGAAACTTTCAATTGTGCCAATTTTTGGTGCTTAGAGACTGACATAGTTTGGGTATCAGGATAACTCCGGCCTTGTAAAATGAATTGGACAATGTTTTTTCTTTGCTTAGATAAAATGAAAGTCCCAGAAATTTTCTTCTCACCATCAACATGCTCATAAACATCAGAAACATTATATACCTTAGATGCCATTATTTGCTGTATAGATAAACAAACTATAGTGCATCCATAACATGGCATTATGCTTGACAGCAAGCAGTAATGAGTTATTGATTTATCAAAGGTTAATTTTAGCTTCATTTTCTTATGAGAAATAGAGAGAACCAAGAGCTGTGTATTGTTTGATTAAATTCCTAGTCTCATGAGAAAGGCAAAAATGCAGGGGAAAGATATAGTTCTGCAGTTACTAGAGGATGAAGAAGAGCTTAATTAAAATGGAAGAGGAGTAGGAAATATTAGTGTGAAAGGATGCTCCATATATCCCAGAACTGGTGGTACTACACAATATTGTGAATTTACCAAAACCAATACAAGACTATGAAGAGTAAATTTGTCATATATAAATGTTAGAAGTCAACAAGTATGTAAAAGAAATACTAAATGAAATACAAATTTTTAACATAAAAATAGATGCATTGAAGTGAGAAAGAAATTATCCTAATTTAGGGATCTACAATTTTAATGAGATACATTAAGACTAAATTTAAAACGAAAAGCTATACACAAAAAACTATACTCATGAAGACAAATTTTGTTTGTCTGGTGGAAAGAATAAGAATTG